AAAAAAAGAATAAGAAAACAAACAAACACTTTTTGTCATCAAAAGTAATTATGATAAGTAATTTTCAGATTGTAATATATCAAATGTTATGATAATTTAAAACATTAAGTATTTCTTTCGTTTTCTCACTATGATATTACGATAATTAATTTTTAATCACAAGTATAAATTTGCTAATTGAACCTAAATCAGGGATTATTTCAGGGGTTACATTCAAGAATTATACTGATGAAATTGAATAATATGATGGAAGAGCATTTCATTTGTAGTCTATCCATATCTGGGATGAGTAATATGAAAAGCATCACCTCCTCTTTCTCCCCTTACCACTGTCTCCTATTGATTTGGTTACAGTGTATCCATGACTCTTTAGCCTAAAATTGTATAGCATCTTTAAAAATGATAGATGAAATGTGAAGAGGAACAGAGATAAAAGCGGAGAGTATGCTTTAATGATTCGAAAGACCTGATATAGCTGATTGTTTAAAGCTTATTTGAATAGAAGAGTGGAAAAGGGACAGCAAGAGGATGGGAAGCTATCTTCGTTCAATATTTTTCCTTTCTAACATTTGCAATTTATTATTCTTTTTCCGAATAAACGCTTCTGTTCACTCTTCCATAAACATTTTTAACAAAAGATTTCACATGTTAGATATGATATGATGATATGATTGTTATTGATATGATAACATATTTGAGAAACATCTCATATAATAGTTCAATTATATATGGTAAATATATGATGTGATAGATATGATATGATATAACAGATAATTATGGTATGAGATATGATAATATGTTTGAAAAGGATCTCATATAATTAAATATAATAGATATAATATGATATTATGGATAATATGATATGATATGATAGTTATGATGGATAATTATGATATGATATGATAACATATTTGGAATAAATATAATAGTTTCAATTAGATATGATGCGATATGACGGATGTAATATGATGTGATGGATGTATGATATGATGTGATATGATAGATAATTATATATGGTAGATAGATAGAATATGATATGATAACATGCTTGAAAAAGATCTCATATAATAGCTCAGTGAGATATAATATGATATGTGATATGATGTGACAGATGCGTATGATGTTAGATAGTTATGATATGATATGATATGATAACATATTTGGGAAAAAAAACCATGTGTAATAGATATAATTGGATATATAAGATATAATAGATAAATATGTTAGCTTAATTAGATATAATAAATATGTATGATATGATATTTATTGATTCTTTCATTCTTTACGAACATTTGGATCCACTTCTCAGCACTATTATCATTATCATTATCATTAATGCCATCGTCGTTATTACCGCAATCATTAATGATCTATCTGATATTTATTAATCATTCCTACTATTACAACCATTGATATATATATATATTTTTCTTTACTTTTAGTCTGCGGTATTTTTTCACGTTAAATTCAAATAAAACAAATTATGAAAGTTAGATTTCATAAATTAAAATGATAATTTGAATTATTGATATTATTTAACGTTATTGATATTATTTGAGTTGTCGTTATTGTTTAAGTCATTAATATTATTTGAGTTACGAAAATAATATTGAAATATTATTTGAATTATTTTGAATAGATACTTCCAGTTATTTCATCATCTTTCGGATATTAAAATGATGTTTGTTATTGTTATTGCTTTGAGTACCTTTAAAACGTTGACAATATCAAATTTACATATCCAAACGAATAAGCTATTATGATAATTTTTAATAATATCACATTAAAAAATAATAATTACAATTAATTGATCGAATTTTTTCCTTAAAAAAAAAAAAACCTTGAAAACATGATCATTTTTTTGATGAATATTTGATCAAAAATTTATTAATTATTATCGCATTTATATAAAAGCGTCCATTCATTTTGATCATTTTTTTTTCTTGAATTTATTCAAGTTATTGAAAGAATTTGCGAACAAAATTACGATAAATGTTAATCTTCAATTTATTAAATATAATTGAAAATCCTTTATTGGAATTAATACTGACATATATAAATTTTAACCAAATAACAAAACGATTATTATATTGAATGTTGTTGAACAAAGAGAACAACCTTCTTCTCTTCATCAAAATCATTCGCTTTTTGATTACCTTAGGATTTAATTTATATTTTTAATTAGGTTTTTTTTTTATTTCTAAAATTATTGATTGTCTTATTAAGTGGATATATATCGAAGTTTCTAATATCTCAAGTTGAAATTTTTATAGGAAATTGAATCAAATGAAATTACTGTATAAATTTATCAATTGATTGAAATAGAAAACTTATCCTCTCCCCGCCCTCTTTCCCTCTGCCATAACATTCCCATTCAATTATTCCCTTAGCTTTTAGACTAAACAAATAAAGTACAACCTCTTTAGTGTTAGGATTTCACGTCGGCCGCACCCTATTACTGCCTTATTTCTAACGTCCATTTGCGTGTCAGTGACGTACCGCTCGTCTTTCCTAACATTTATTTGGAAAATGGAACCTAAGTTTCGTTTTCTTTTGTTTTTTTTTTTTTTTATTTTCGACTGATTAAATACCATATCATTTATTATTTAAGAAAAGGAAAATATTACGTTATGACGTGAACTTTTGTTTGCAATTTACATAAATGTCACGTTTCTTTCATTTTGTTCTCATTAACAGACATACTGTTAAAAAAAAAAAAAAAAAAGAAAAAAAAGAAACAATTTTCAGTGGGATGGCAGTAGCACGGCGAATATTTTCATCAACTGAAAATAGTAAGTGTTGAAAATATGGATGAGGGACGAAGTGGAAGTGAATTACATTGCTCCTCAGGAATGAAGTATTGTTATGTTATCTTATAGTACTTATCATTATTAATTCCTATCATTCACTTTTCTTCTATTTACAAATCATCTTCACCAGTTTTTTCATTCATAAATTCGATTTCTTACAAAAGTTTTCAATTTTTTCATCGTTTTTTTTTTTTAAACATATAATCGGATTTATTGAGGTCTTCATTCACGATTACTTCGCTGTAATTCTTCATCTCTTTCAGTCTTTTTGGATAACTTTAAAATTTGACTAAAGCGCCACTTTTTAAGAACCTATTGATACTTTTAGTCTAAACAAATGGTTGCAGATAAAAAATGGTTGGAAAAACCTTTTTCTTTTTTTCTTTTTAAAAAAACTTTTTTCTTTTTTTTATCATTTTTTTTTCCAAAAAGACTGAAAAGGATGAAAAATTGCAGCGAAGCAACGGCGAATGTAAATATATGAAAAAAAAAGTGAATAAATGAAAAAGAAAACATGTTACAAATATTGTCTATTGTAGAGTGGAGTGGGTAGAAATTGTGGAACCACAGACACGGCAGTATATGTATGCAAATCTACGAACGGGTCAGTGTTCTTGGGAACCACCAGCTGGTGTGCCAGTGTAAGTTTTTTTTTTCCATTTTCAAATTTCGAAAAATGATTCATAGTGAATCATTCACATTTAGAATTGAACATTCTACTTTTCTTGCTTAATTTGATAAAATTCCATTTACTTATGAAGAAAGTAAATTTGTATGGCGAAAATAATATTGAGAAGGATCGTTAGAAGTCTTTAAGAACAATTCATAATCGAAACACTACTTTAAGTACGGTTAGTATGATACTAATCATGGTATTATTTCGTTTACTAACAAGACTGGAATGGTTTCCATTCGAAATGTTTGATTTTCTCAGGAAGAAGACTGCAAGCAATCAGTGGTGGGAATTATTTGATACCAATTCCCAGCGGTTTTACTATTACAATGCTACCACGATGCAAACGGTATGGCAGAAACCAGCAAATTGTGATATTATACCACTTGCGAAACTTCAGGTAAATAATTCTCGTTCATCTGCAGAAATCTATTTGATACAGTAGTAAGGTTGTATTTCGAGCTGCGATAATATACGACACAATTCAGAGGATAGCAGGCAAGAGCGGGTCTCAGTGGAAACATTTGAAAAAAAAAAAATATAATACATCTGCAACCATGAATTGATACCTCTAATAACTGCTTGCGACTACTGAATTTCACAAATTTTTAAGTCAGAATTTTTGTGGGTATCTTTACAGGACTATCGTGTCTAACTTTTTTTTTGTTCGTTCGAACTTTGCAATCATTAACGATCATAATCAAATTTTCCTCACTTTATTGTCAACTTAGTTCCCATTGCAGTTTTTTTCCAACATTGATGAGGTAGGACACACATTCATATTCATATAGCCTTTCCATTTATTATTTCGCAGTTTTTCTGCAGACGCTCAAAGAAAATACCGAACTTCATTCCAATTTGGAGCGTGATGATGGATGTTCAGTGCCACTTCTTGAAAGAACGATGACAACTAAACGAAATAATGAAACGCAGACATCACCGAAAGAAGAAAGAAGGTCTGGTAGCAGCCGTAGTTTAGCTCATACAGTTTTTGCCCAGGTTAGTACTATTTATTTGTTAGAAACTTCGATTTTCATTTAACTTGTAGAGTTAACTTAATTAACTATGATTAATGAAATCATGGCTAATTAAGAAAGATTTGCTGTGCCTTTTGTGATGTTGATATTAAGACGGTACATATGAGCCCATTTCCAGTTCGGATCTAGTCACTGTTTTAACCAGTTTTCTGAATAACACTTCTTTTCCAGAATATATCCCCTGAATCAGGAATTGTAACAACAAGAAGGCTCAATTCACCGCATACATCCATGCCAAGGAAAACATGTAATGAATCATCCTCCCCCTTGCAAGTGTCACCTGGTTATATTGCACCGCTAATTAATACTGTTCAGGTAATCATTTGAGCAAACGGATCAGCAGTAACGGTTTGTGTTTGTAACATTACTTTCGAAAAGCGTATTTCATAAAGCAAAATAGCTTTTAGGTAACAAGCATTACGTAGCAGCATTGCGGTAAGAGCTTGCATATCCTTGTACTACTAATCAAAATGGTAGTTGTTACAAGTTAACACTTTGAAGAACAAGATACTCAGTCATTTATTAGGAATTTGATAGTTTGAAGTTTGAAAATTTTCTTGCGGTGTCTTTTGTAGTACTTTTTTCGATTTTTGATCAACCGATTTTGTGCAAACTATTTAAGACTTCGTTCCCAAACTTTTGAAGTTTTTTACCATTCAAAATAAAGCTATCAATGAAGAATAGCTAGAAAAAAACTTTTAGAAGATGCTTGATCTAACTTTGAGAGGAGATCCATTATTACGACGCAAGAAAAACTCAATAAAGTAATTACGGGACTTGTACAATAATGTGTTTGAATGTAGAATTGCAATGTTTTCGAGATACTGTATATATATATACTCGTAAAATGTTGGGTTTTCTTGAATTAGTCATCTTGGTTTTTTCTTGGGATCACACCATACCATTATAGGACAGGTTTTTATTAACATAATACAAACTAGCTGCTGCTGTTCTACAACTATATCATAATAAAATATTAAAACGAGAATTATTGAATTCTTTGTAGCATTCCTTTTTTTTCGCCTTCCCTCCTTCCTCCGCCGTCGACCATCTCGCTGTTTTTGTAAATGTTGGAAGGTAAGAAGGGGTAAAGCGAAGAAATCATTTTTATTCCGTTTAAAAATGAATGAAATAGAGAGGAAATAGACGGATTAAGAGGATTAGAACTGTCACAGATTTTCGAAACTGCTTTGCCAGTTTTACCATTTTGTTCTCAAGGCAATTAATATATTCTAATTTTTATACCTAAATTTGACACCTTTCGAGCAAACGTTATTCTGAGGTATTTATTTCTGGCGTATGTCATTATATCAGTATTACTGTTTGAGCAGGGATAACTCAAAGATAGCGAGTATCTCATTCTTGACAAGAATAACAAGATGGGATGGTATTTTTCTCAGCGTTAATCTCAACTTTCTAGTTGGTACAGATATAGTTTTATTGCAGGACATGCGCATATACTCAAATCGTGAATGTCTGCCGCGAAATGTTTCCGCTTTGCAAGTTGCTTCGTATATTCCTCGCGATGACTCACTTGAGGGCCATTTAGCACCGTTGCACCGTCCACAGATTGGTAAAAAATTTCAAGTAATATCAAAGAAAAAGTTGAAATTGTAAGCGGTAGAAATGTCTGAAATGGGTAGTTGGTTACTTATTTGTTGTTTATTTTAAAATTTTAAGTACTTTTACAAACTTTTGGTGTTCAAATCATAACGTTTGTGAGAACGATAGTTGTGATCCAGAATTTTTATTGTTGAATAACTACGTAATTGTTTTCAAAATATTTTTCCTTTTTTTTTTTAAATTTAATATTTTCCGTTTCTTTTTTGCAGTAATGTCAACTCGTACAGCATCATCTGCTTCAAGCAATGTTATGCCGTCAATTATTCAGTCTTCAGCTGGTAGTTCCAGTTCATCACTCACAATGAGCAACAATCGTCTTCCACTTGATGATGGTACAACGCTGAAAAAATGCCACAATTTGACATCAAGCCCAAAAGTTCGAGAATTTAATGACGCCATTCTTGGGGCATCAGATTGCTGGACTAAAGAATCCATTAAACAACCTGTTTCCGGCAATACGGATGATAAGCATGTGAAAAAAGAGGCACCAAATATGTTCAAGGTTATTCAAAGCTATATGGGTGATCGAAAAAGTAAGACGTCTAATGATCAGGTAAAAATGTTCGGAATTTCACAAAATTCAGTCCGTTTCGTAACTGTAGAAGAATTCATGCTAAGAAAATATCTTAGAATTAAGAACAGGAATATTTAACATAGCTTAACGCTTAGCGTCTCTGTTTCTTACAATGATTTAAATAGCTAGCTGTAGAATTTGGCTTAGACAACTCACTGCAATTTTCAGTTTTTCCTTGATAAATTCTACAGGATCTGCAGAGCTGAGCTTAAGCTGCATTGTCATCTTTTTAATTACTTATTTGTTTACTGGTACTGGACATCCCAGTTTCATTGTTCATTTTTTCGGATTTTGCTTTCTGAATTTTCAACATTTTTTAACGTTTGGAAGAACTAATATGCTCCGTCTTTCAAGAAGTTACATTCAACTGCATTAAACGATTTTCTTGGTTGTTTTAGCTGGCTTTAACACTTTGTGAATGGGGTATTTCAAAGGAAGGTCTAGCCGATGAACTTTTTTGTCAAATTATGAAACAGCTGACGGGCAACGAAAGATTTGATTCGATACGAAGAGGATGGGAATTACTCGCCATATTTTTGGCTTTTTTCTCACCGTCAAGTCCAGAAATAACTCAAAAATTGACTGAATTTATTGAAGCAAATTCTGATCGATTGTTGGATATGCCCGAGGTATCATATCTTGAACTAAATAATGTGAACTTTCAATATCCAAAAATATGATAGCTGTACGGATGAATCTGAATAACGGATGATTTTCGCTGAAGAAATGATGAAAGGAAGGAAGAGACCGGAGGATAGTAGACGAAAGATTTTTGTCTTTTACGGAGTATCACCCGATGTTTCTTGTTTTTGCTTATTTCTTTTGTTGGAAGTTTTGGAAAATGTAAATGATGTTTGTTTTGATTCAGGTGCCCGTTTCGCATTATGCCATTCAGTGCAGCAGACGTCTTGCACGTTTATCAGCTACACGGCCAAAACCATCGCTTAGTCTTATCCAAGAATCTCGTGTACATATTTTCAACCCGCCGCAGTTTTGCACTCCTCTGGAAGAACTGATGGAAATGCAGGCCGAAAAATATCCAGAAAGGTTCGTCTTGGCAGTTAGGCTTTATTTGTACTTTGAAACTTTTCACTTTTTTAATTAATCGATTGTCGTGACATTGAATACGGTAATAAAATAGCAAGTTTAAGGGATGTTTGCTTGCTGCTGACCTATTAAACTTTAAAATCTATAGAAACGAGGAGGGAGAAAGGGAGGAAAATATGGAAGAGATGGAAAGGGAGGATGGACATTGCATAATAACAATTCAATCTAACCTTAAATTTGAGAAGAAAGCTTCGGAATTGTAGTCCAAAAATTTAACTAGTGCTGTTAATCGTACATCCGTTCATGCTGTTTATTAATCTTATAGGATTTGTTACTTTTGAGTTCATAATGGTAACTGATAAAGTTCCAAAAACTTTCAAAGTACGACATATGGAAAAAGTTACTGCTACTGGTTTTTTGTGCCTGATGATTTTTAGTATCATCATCTTGCATTGATTCCACCATTCACTTTTTGATAGACCATCTCATGCACTCTTAGCTTCGGTATGAAATATATCATATAATGCAGTTATAAATGTCCTTCATAATTTGTTCCTTTAATCAGTATAATAATTTATTATTTTTGTTTCAGAATTTTGCCTTGGCTCGAGACAACATTAATAGATTTGATATTGTCAGCTGATGGACAGCACACCGAGGGTATTTTCCGTGTACCAGCTGATCCGGATCATGTCCATACAGGTAAAACGAGACTTTGCTTACAGTTCTGCATTTAATCGGTAGATCGATTAAAAAAAATTGACCATTACCTTACTAATTTGAAATGCGATACTGTTTAAGTCCTTGTCTACTTTTTTCGAAAATGTAACTGACTTCGAGAAAAGCGTTTAAGAAGATGGGAAATTTATGTTCTTAAAAGTTTACAATTTTTCTTTTTTTGAGCCAAAACTATATCCTTCATCGCTGGAGATTATTTATGATTTGTAAACAAGCTTAAGCAATGAAAGGTATGATTTCGACTTAGGGAAACTTCTATCGTTCTTTATTTTTAAATTTCAGCAAGATTGCGTCTCGACCGAGGACTGATCCCGGTTGTGCGTGATGCTCATGTTCCAGCAGCGTTACTAAAATTGTGGTTACGTTCACTTCCAGAACCACTACTGCCGGATACTTTTTATTTACGTTGTTTAGCAGTGTGTGATCAACCCGAAGAAGCGTGTCGCATAGCTGAGTTGCTACCTGCTGTGAATCGTCTAGTTTTAGCAAAATTACTCGAACTTCTCCAGGTGTACTTTTGCTTATTTCCATCCTCTATTTAACTTGTAATGGTTTGATTACTGGGTTAAACTTGGTTGTTGTCTAAAGCTTGAAAGTTTATTTAATTTCATATCTACTCAATTTATTTGAATCGGTTTTAAAATTATGTTGGAAATGGACATAGTAGTTCACTGTTCATTTCTTAGATTTTTAAACGAATATATGTTGCAGCTGCTAGCAGAAGAAGAAACAGTAAAATATACAAAAATGGATGTGTGTAATTTAGCAATGGTAATGGCACCCAATGTATTACGATGTGGTAGTGACGATCCACGTGTTATTTTTGATAATGCACGACGCGAAATGACGTTTCTGAAAACGCTCATTTTACACTACGATACTTCCTTTATACGTTCTGTTTCCTAAATTCTGAAAAATTATTTTTGGAATTACGGGAATAATTAGAAAAGATTACAATTTTTTAAAGATTTCTTAAAATTATTTAAACAGTCTCACAACGGATTTGTTCAGTGGAGCACTTTTGTCCGGTGATTACTTGATAGCATGCCGAGCACAGTCGCCTATAAGTTATCTAATAACAGTCGTTCAAGCTTCTTATTAAATACGTAAGTAGGTAGTGTGGACTTTGAATTTCTTCATCTTAATTTTTGTATAAACCATTGTTTATGTAGCGCTATATTTGAATTTTCTTAAAGCATAATCTTCAAGTAAGGTTTAGTCATAAATATCATGTGTAGATTGTCGATTTTGGCGTTTGATTATTTTAAATGTTGACCACTTAATTTGCTCACCGCTGCAAATAAGTTTATCAATTTCCAGGTGAGATGTTAAAATCCATATAATCATTGTACATTAATACCATGCCATTTGTTATTTGCCAGGATATTTTATTCATTGCTAATAGTAGTTATAGCATATCGTATTCACCTTATTTTTCTCTCATTTAATGCATTATCAGCTTTGGTGATAACTCTGTGACTATTCGAATGCAAATGTCGGTAGCGTTTATTAAATCATTTCATTTAATTCACCCATTGATTAGGCTTCCATGGTTTTCTGTCATAATTTTCAGTTTTCTGTTTTTCGAGTTTAAAATTATCCGATTCTCTCAGTTTCAGTAAACATTGTAAATGATTTACGGTGATTTTTTTGGCATGTTCTGATCCTATTACTGTGTTCTTCATATCAAATTTAAGGATATTTATATGTTTCGTAAATATGATTACCGAGTAATTATGCATCTATAAAAAGGTGGGATAGTGTTATCTCTAATAAGGATAAATCTGGTGCTCAGTTATCAGTGTCATCAATTACATTTTAGGAACTTGTCTATGGGTACATTTGAATATCCTCTTGCTTGCTTGTGATTTCAGGATCATTTGATATAACGGAAGAATTGTCATTAGCGTTCCAGCTCTCCTGTCATCCAGCACATTCTGCACCATTTCTGGATAATCTAGTCGAACTGTTACATCTGGTTCAGTTTTTTGTTGTTTTTCTATTATTATATGGTTGATTATTAAAATATAATAAATACCTCAGAAAGCTTAAAATTTATTCGTTCTAAAACATATTACTTTTGTTAGCTCTAAAGCTAAAATAATTTACTTCTTCATCTTGATTAAATATTTCTTCGAAAATGAATCAATAAACACACAAAGCTTTGATGTGTTGCTGTTCAGAAGTTTGTATTAACATGTTTTGAATACGATGTTATATGTTGTTACTTGATCATCAACAAGAAAGATATCATTCATTCGTGCACGAATGAAGAATGATTCACTAACAGTCGATTGGTTATGGCGCTTTCCAGTAATTCATCTTTTTCTCTTCGAAATGGAATTAGGAGCAGGGTGTTTAGGAAGGAACTAGTTACTCGTATTTGTATGTTTTACTTGTAACTTTCAGGCCTTCATGAACTTTGGCATTTGTACCATCAAAACATACGTGTATTTTTCCCCGTAACTACGTATAAAATAATTTTGTATGTAAGGATTTTGCAAGTTTCACAGGACTTCTGAATGATTATGATAATACAGCTATGGAAGATATAGAAGATGTTATTCGTGTTCCTACTGCTGTTAATTTGAGGCAAAATCACGTGATTGTCAGAAAACGTTTAAAAGGAGATGGCGAACCATTTTATGGTGATAGTTTTGTTCCTGGTATGTACATTATTGTTATCTTCGTATTTTCTCTTTGATTCACTCAATATGCACATCTTATAAAAATAAGAAAAGAAACAAGGTATTGTTAGTTTGAATTTGAGCAACATTTTAAATAAACTAAAGTCATTGTGGTTAAATAACTCATTTGGTTCAACTGAAGTTGTACGAATGATTTCTCCAAATTTTTTTTCTGAAATATAGAAAATCTATATAATATAGCTAACACAATCTCTATCTAATATTGCCATTTAAAGTCCTTAAATTCCTCACTTGATGGAAAATTTTTTCAGGAACACAAAAAATTTATATAAGAACATGGGGTTGTACACATAACACAAGCGATTCCGAACAGATGGCTGGTTTACTATCGGAAGCTGGTCATCAGCTGACCAACAAAAAAGTCAGTTATAATCCTCCATTAATTTATCCTTATGTAACTTGGTCAATTAATTTCATGATTGAAATTTTTGTAATTTTGTTTATCATGCAATTCAGTCATATTTTTAGGAAGATGCATCTCTATGGATACTAAACAGCTGTACTGTGAAGACACCATCTGAAACACAACTCGAAAATACAGTTAAAGAAGCTCGAAAATTGAATAAGTTTATCATTGTAGCAGGTTGTGTATCTCAGGTAATTTTTTGGGGGGAAACCTCCTCTTTTTTTGATTCTTTCTTTATCAAAATGTAGTTCTTTCTGATTCTTTTTTCGTCACAATATGAAAATGAAGATTTCCGGACATTATCGAGATAGCTTATTTTCGAATTTCCGCTTATATTTTTTATTCGAAATCTCAGAGACTACTTGAAAAGATTTTGACAATTTATTCTTGAAGGACTTCATAGCTGATATCCTTTCTTTTCTGGATGTTTTATATACATGTCCTCATCATCTAGTGCTTTCAAGGCTGAACCAAATTTGCGATTTTTGGAAGGAATCTCAATAGTTGGAGTTAAACAGATTGAGTGTGTAACTCAAGCAGTGGAAGAAACATTGAAAGGGAATTGTGTTCGATTTTTGTCGCAAAGAAAACCAAATTCCAACCTGTTACTTCCAAAAATACGAAAAAACAAATTTATAGAAGTTAGTAAGTATGGTTTGCGCAAATAATGCTTTAGAAATATTTTTCTTAAAATCTGGATCAAATTTTTAGTTTATTGATTTTAAAAGTTTGGAGGAAGCAGTTTTTCCGATCTTTTAAATCTGTTAAATTGGAAGCTAGTCTTAGCTAAATCTCGCCATGTATAGCGTCTGCGGGATATGAAATGTGTATGTGAGGGAGCAGTGTTAACAGTGTTAATAAAATAATATATTTAATAAAGGGATTCATTTTATTAAGATTTTCATTGGCTTCTTTTTTTCCAAACAATGTTTAGTGATACAGTTTTTGTGGAGCAAAAGTGAATCAAATTTATAGATTCTTGCTATCAGTAGTGGTTGTTTGAACCATTGTACATATTGCAAAACAAAATCTGCTCGTGGAAATCTTGTTAGCTTTCCGCTTGATAGTTTACTGGAACGAGCACGAAATGCATTTGCTGATGGTTGCAAAGAACTTTGGTTAACATCCGAGGATCTGGGTGCTTGGGGTCGTGACATTGATATGGTCTGTTTTTCTCGCAGTTTTTATTTCTTGTTAAAATATTTCACGACAAGTAATTTGCCCTATTTTCACTGAAGTACTGGAAGAGAAGAATGAATGGTAAAATGACATCGCTACAACTCATTCATATAATATTTCTGTTCTACTGAATTATTTCTTAATAGTGTGATTCAGCAAATTTTTTAATGACTTTTGCTTAAAATGCAAATATCGTTTTGTCGAAGGGCATTTTGTCCCTTACTTACATTGGCACTAATCATTTAATATTGATTTTACACTGATTATTAACTGAACAGATTATGGAAAACATAGACTTATCCTTTTTCTCCTTTTGAAATCTTGTATTGTCTTTTTTCTCTCTTTTACTAGTCAAAATTTATAACTGCCATAATTCTATCCTAATAAAGGGCAGAAAGAAGACATAGATACAATAAAAGACTAAAAATCCCTTAATTGCTGTCATAAAATTATTTTCCTTTTTTTTGTTATAAGGAAGGGGAAATATGGAAAGTATCACTGCTTTGTCTTTTGAAAAAACATGCTCTCTTTCAGGTCTTGCCAGACTTACTAAATGCGCTGGTAGAAATCATTCCTGAAGGATGTATGTTACGATTGGGTATGACAAATCCACCTTATATACTCGATTTCCTTGAGGTTAATTCTTCTAATCTCTCGTTTATATAGGAGGAATGAAAAATTGCGACAAATTTTACTTTTGAAATTCATAAATTTTATACACTGCAATGAATTTAATTGGATAATATTAAATCTGCTGTGAGTTGCAGGAAATTTCGGAAATTTTAAATCATCCAAGGGTTTATTCCTTTCTTCATATACCTGTTCAGTCGGCAAGCGATGCTGTATTGGCGGATATGAGGCGTGAATATACCTGTTCTGATTTTTGCCGAGTTGTTGATTACATGACCCAAAAGTCAGCTGATTTTAGAAGCTCAATTTATGATTTCATATTCCGAAAGAGAAAGCGTTTTTGTAGTAAAACGTTAGCGAAAACATCATTTTCTTCGAATATTGTACTGGCAAACAAAACTTAAAAATTTATTTTTAATGAAATTCATTCTTCAGTATTATGTAGATGCTTTGAATGTATTTATTGGGCCCCAAAAAGATGGGGATCCAAATCTACCAGGAAAGAGCCATTTCGCTGTAGAAAGAACCATTTTGCAGCGTCCCCAATATCTATATAGCGACAGATTTCATTTGTGCTTACCCAACAGAAACAAAGAGTGATTTCGAAGAGAGTATGGCATTGGTACGGAAATACCGTTTCCCTTCATTATTCATTAATCAGTTTTATTCAAGAATTGGAACCCCAGCAGCAAATTTGAAAAAAATCGACACCGTTGAAGTATGCTTTATAATTTTTCGAGAATTTTCAGATTTCGGCAGATGGTATTGAATTTCATGGAAATGTATTGTTGGGAATGTCTTAACGATATAGAATAGGTAACGGTAGATAAGTTCAAAAGCATAAAAATAAACCAAAAAGACGCTGTTCTGAGTTGGCTGATAAAACTACCTGATTTGAGTTATTGATAGCAAAAAAAAATAAATAAATTAGTGAATGATTGGCATGGGACACTTTTGAAAACCTGTTCAAGGCTAGGTACTGAATATGAATAATTTCGGCATCTTGAATGGAAGCGCATTCGATTTTCAAAATTATTTTGAGTTTACGTTGGAATTAAGTGTTGTGACTGCTTTATTGAGAAGGAATTTTCAAAAATTTTCTTATAGATCGTTCAATTAAATTAAATCTAAGTTCATCTCATCTACAAGTCCTTCCAATATATTTAAATAAGACAAATTTTTATGGATTAAGATGCATTCAGATTGCTATTATTATAACCAGTCCATGACAGTTAGATTACAAATTAATTTTTCAAAATTTTAAAAAGGAAAAGAAATTTGAAATGAACTGTTCTTTTTAGGCTCGTCGTCGAACCGCAGAAATGTCAACACTTTTCCGATCTTATTCAAGATACGACAAAAAACGAATCGGTGAAAAGCATCGAGTTCTTGTTTGTGAATTGGCAACTGATCAACAACATTATGTAGGCCATAACAAATATTACGAACATTTTCTTATATCTTCGAAAAAGTGTCTCTTGGGCAAGTGGGTTGAGGTGCGTATCGTAGATGTTTCCAAATTTTACATGAAAGCTGTTTTGATAAGCAATGATATCAGTGTATGGTTGAGTAACGGTTCGATGTCTCATATCTCAATTCTAACACACAGTTATTGGATAACCACTTTTAGTACGATTATCTCGATTTTTATTTTTTGGTTGCTGTTGTTTTAGTATTATATGATTGTTATTACTATTGGAATTTGATTTAAATGAAAAGGCTACAAAATTTTTTGTAAATTAATTCAAGATAAACAATTACGAAGAGGGAACGAAACCTGTGGGAAAAGGTTAAGCTTTCGTAAGGATTGAAAAGTCTTTAGAGTTATTTTTCATTATCTTGTTGAAAATTTACGACTTACCGGACACAGTTCCATCTCTGAATTTGGATTTAATTGGAAAGTTGGCTTACATGAAATAGGGAAACACTGACATTTACGGAAAACAAATTGCTTGAAATAGAATATTGTCTAGAATGCTATTCAAAAAAGCGAAGGCCGCAATTAAGTTGATGTATCAAACTTGAAGTTCAAGCTTTTCAAACTTTTTGAAAAGTTGCTCGAATATAATCATCAGTTTACACACTAAAACTATCGACCAGAGTTCCATAATTATCTCTGAGATCGGGTTCGTTTACGGGCAAAATACATCCAGTCGTTAAACTTCGTTATTTAATTACCCATTAAATCTAGGGAAACGATTTAAGTGAACGTATTAACAGTGAAAGTGATGCGATCTCTGTTTTTGTCGAGGTCAAATTCCTAGATGGCCAGTAGGGTCAAGGGTCACTAAAGGCTCTACCGACATCGCCAGACACATTTACGACCCAATAAAATAAATAATTGATTGACCGAGGAGATTTTTTCTTATCGTTGGGTCATTTTCCCGAAGTAAAACAACCGCCGAGTCGATGGAGCCCATCCTACTACTAGATCGAGGTTAAAGTTCAGTCTTACATATATTCTTGCAGAGCATGGAATAGCTGCGTTTATACGATCTAGAGTTACTCGTTCAAAGTCCTATTCGCTTCTGTATCATTCATATAAGGCAATAAAGGTGACAAATCATCTTATCGATAACGAACAGACCGATCACTTCATAATCAAACTGCATAATGGCATGCAAGGGACCAGATCCTTCGACATCAACAGTATCAACCTCCAACTACGACAACTACGGTATTTTTCATAGGGGCCTTAGATAGGGCTGTGTGAAATGATGTTGTCAAAACATTGGGCATGGATGACATAGGTTAACCTAGGATTTTTGGACGGATTAGTTAGTGTTTTAGGTAGTTATGGGTAAATGGGGCTGTCAGGTGTTCTTAACTCTGTCCTTCTTCTGATTTTCTCATTTTTATCAGAATAAATTTCCTACATGCGTGGCCTTTTTATAGAATTTACTTAAGTACGATGGTTAACTGGATTGGGTACCATCTAGAGACGGTAATCTCGAAACTGTATTAGTGAATTTGATTATTAGTATTTCATTTTTAATTACTAGATGATTGCTTTTACTATAGTAATTCGATACTTATTTCCTAGTCACTATTTTTGTTAGATTGTTTGACTATTTGTTCGAATTTAAAAAATTTCTTTTCGAAATTAGCAGAAAGTTTCATTGCAAACTTGTGTAGAGTTAAATAATGTACCGAAAAAGTACTTTGGAAGAAATAACAAGGTATTGGTAAGGAAAAGTCCGCTTTTCAGTAGAGTTAAATAATGTACCGAAAAAATACTTTGGAAGAAATAACAAGATATTGGTAAGAAAAAGTTCGCTTTTCACAAGACTTGGCAACCCCTTAAAGCTATTTTCATTTCCCAGTTCAGTTCATTCAATTAATTTTATTGTTCTACGCTTTTCTCTGGGGCATGACCACAGCACTCTTTTCACTTTGTTCTCACCTCTTAGAGTATGCCCGTGATGCGGCAACTGTTTATTTTCTGCAGATATCCCGCTCTGCTGTGGGTTGTGGCTGGAAATGAAAGTGTAGCTCACTTCGAAGATCGATATAATAAAAGTTGTTGTTTGAGGTTGAATTTAGAATATCTTTCCTTTTATTTCTCTAAACTTTATTCAGTTTTCAGTATTCGGTAGCGATGACTTTACTGTAACGCCCAATCGGTTGTTTTGGCTAATGCGGAAGAATAATGGAGAAAGAGTGCGAGACGCTGAGGGATTTCGTTTACGAGCTGCTGGCATATGCACACGCGGGGAAGGTAGCAGTCGGGAAATCTTATTGATTACTGGTGGCAAAGATGATGGTCGGTGGATCATTCCGGGTGGTGGCATTGAGAAGGATGAAAATGAATCGGATGCTGCTTTACGTGAGGTTTTTGAGGAAGCTGGAGTTAAGGCGGAAATTTTGGCTCGTGTGGGGGAGTTTAGGGTTAGTATATTCTTTTATTTCCACTACTACTTAGAGTTTCTGTGAATCGAAATTTTGGAAATGAAGACGTTTTTGAAGACTTTCTAAATTTGAATTTCTGTTTCGTAAGGAAATAGAAAGACAATGAACGAACAGAGGAAGTAGCAGAACAATTAAAGTTAGTGGATGAGTGAGATAAATTCTCCTACACACTACGTTTACCGTGAGATCAGGTTTTTGTACGGTATAGCCGGTGACTCTACCGTTTAGTTGTACTTTCTATCCTGCACATTTCGTTCCAGCTATGAGTTGCTGGAACATGTCTTCAATTATGGGATCAGTTCCCCAAGCATTTCGTCTAACATTTTACGGTCACTCAAGTTAAGTTTTGGAATGGAAAGGGAGTTAGCAAAGAAGGATTAGTGGTAAAGTCCGTTTTCAGTTTTGAATTCGTTTATAATGCATTTAAGCTGCAAGAAAAGAAATAACGAACTTTATCTACTTTTTTTAACATTAATCTAATCTAATGAGAAGTTTCATTCTATACAGCTGTGAATTTCAAGTTTAGGATGAAGAAAGACGGCATCGGACAGTGGTATTTCTGTTGACGGTTAAGGAAGAATTGAAGGAGTGGGAAGATGGCTGTTTTGGCCGACAGCGGGAATGGGTAAGCCTAGAAGAAGCATTGCGACGGGTGAAACATTCGCAAACATGTATTATTGAACATATTTGTAGGATGTAGCTCAAATTGACTTTTATTGCTTTCATCCGTTCTCACTTTATTTATTATGGAAAGGTACCGGGAACGGCGCTTCAGGGAGGCATTGGCTTTTGCGTCTTTTCAAATTCAGATACTACATTGGAACTGAATTCGATTTTAGTGTATCATGTTTTGAGTGTGTCTCTTTTTGTTATTACTTATGATTTTGTCTTGCTTTTGATTTATGTTAAAGTCGATCTGGAGCGTATTTTTGTTAGGCTACATCCTTCGCTTCCGAATGTCTTATTTGACTGAATAAATTTTCGGATGAATCGGGAGGGTACCATCCTCATTTGCGTTTCATATCGGTGCTCTTATTGCACTTCAACTGAGAGCTTCAATAATCAAAGATGTGTAGTTCCCTGCTTATTCATTTTATTTGATCCTCTCTTACTGCGTATTGCGATCAATAAATCCATTTTCATTTATGCGACTATTCTTTAGCCAATCTGCACCATGCATTCTAATCATTATTTTTCTTTATCTTCATTAAATCAAAATGTCCGCCCAAAATATAAGGTGACTGTTATCATAAAATCGTTCCTTCTCTCACTTGCAACACTAACGGAGGAAATATTGCTGCAAGACACAATTATTACGGAAGTAATGGTAAACGAGAGAAGGGATTTTGGACAATGAACGCTATGATCGTAGTAGGAACCACGCAACGCAAAATTACATGGTTACTTCTCATATGGCTAAACACTATGATCACGTTTTAGCGTCAATATGCAGTAGCTTACTAAGAGCAAAAATCACCAAGGAGTTTCGACAAAAAGATACTGAATAAAAATAAATATGAATTCAAACTTTGGTTGTAAAGGCATACCTGAAAAAAACAAAACAACAAGCTTTCACCTAAACAATATGCTTTCACGTTAAACATGTTGAGATTTGCAAAAAGCTAAATAACATGAAAAATATCACAGAATAAAGAGCATAAAAGTGGAGAAATGAAAGTTCCATCAACTGAGATCAATCGAAGAGTGGTTCCGTGTTAACACTGTACAAAGCCATCGCATACAACGGTCAATATTGAGACCTTGCAATGCGGATATCGGGATGAGAGCCAGATCACCTATATGTCTATCATCCGTTGTTAAAACTCTGATTATTTCCGTTCCGGTGCATTCTTCTATATCACTTTTGTTGCAAACCACCAAAACTGGCATTTTCTGGACAGCTTCACTGTTCATTACCAGTTCTGAAATTAAGAATCTTAGGATTTCAGAAAAATTTGTGCAAAATTAAAAGCAATTTCCGACTCATAGTCTATGCGATTTCTCCAATTGAAAAGTTCACCTTAATACATGGAAATCTTAGCTTGAAATGAGGTCTTCTAAACGTGAAGTAACATTTACAAACTTACTGAAGGCTTCACCAACTTCTGGATATCGGTCAGGATCACAGGAATCAACCACAAATATGAGTGCCTGTGAATCCTCAAAATATTTATGCCAAAGGGATTGTAATTCTTCTTGTCCTCCAAGATCCCAAAAATTGAGACGAAGAGAGCCTACTACAACTGTTCCAACTGTAACAGTTATCATACAACTCAAATTGAGATATCTTATTTCGAGAGAAAAAAAAATTTTTCCTAAAATTAGTAAAATGCTTCATGCTAATCCAACCATTTCATATGAACATCAAAAAATTAGCTTACCATTTAAACCAACAGTACTTGTAATCTTCAGTGGATTTAACATTTGATAATTCTTGATAAATTTTGACTTAATTTGTTCCAAAAAAGTCTGAAAATAGTTTATCTTTCGTCCATTGCAAGATAACCTTAAAATATTCCACACAACTCTCTGATGACTACTACTCATTGAGAAGGGTATAATTTTTACAGAAATTAAAAATGATTTCATCTAATTTTAGTAATATAGAAGTACATGAAAATTTCCAAAAAAAAGAATTATAGAAAAAAAAAGAACAAAAACAGGAATTAATGAATATCCTAAAAGGAAGAAGTAGACAAATTCATAGTAGAATTTTATAAATTTTGAAATATTTCTCCAAAAATATCCTGAAAACTAATAAAAATCAATCGATATTTCAAATATTATTAACCGTTTTTCCAGCATTATCCAATCCAACGATGACAATATAGTAATTGCTCCTTCGTCTTAAACGTTGCCATATGCCAACTCCAAGTGTATACATATTTCTACGTGATAATTACGCTTCTCTTCTCTTCTTTTATCAACCGAACATTTCGAAAAAAAAAAAAAGACAGTCCTGGAAAATTTCAAGAAACTAAATTTGTATATGTAAAAAAAAAGAAAAGATAATTTATAACCAAATCCATGGATCGTTATCTTTAATGTTCAGTAGAATCCTAAATCATTTCAACATAACATAATCTCGAATTATTTCAGGTTCAATATAATCCCAAATTATTTCAATTTCATCATTGTAACCACTCCAATTAAAATTTTGCCTCTTATTACAGTCCGTTATCACTGGCACTTCTAGCCCGCATTCCTAAGTTCCGGGAAATCTCAGACATAGTATCAACAGGATTCCTATTCGAATAATGTCAACAACATTCTTTAATAACCACTGCTGGATGATGTATAATCATAGTTGTAAATTGGCTTAGTTCTCTTACAACGAAATTTTGAATATGTATAACGCAAGGGGGGGGGGGGAGTATGAGTGGTGAATGCGCTCACGTGACAGGCGGATTTGTCGGAGAAGGATAGATCTTATAGGAGATACGTGAAATTAGGCTTAGTAACATGTTTTATTGAAAAAGTATAATACACAAAGAAGCATCTTTTGATAATCTCTTATGACATTTTTCTTTTTTTCCACTCTTTTTTTCCTATATTCCATAGAGTATCCGGAAATATAATATTATGTTAACCGTGAAGATTATGAAATTATTATGATAGAATTCGGTAATTCTTTCTCTCTCTCTCTCTCTCTCTCTCTCTTTCTCTCTCCCTTTCTCTCTCTCCTTCTTCTTTTTTCGATTTTAATACAAATGTGTAGTTTACAGTTTAATTTGCTTTTTTACAGGTCAAATATTTTATTTTGATCTATTTGGTAATAAACATCTCGTTAAATACTATGCCATATAGTATGACAAATATGATTTATCCATGAGTAACGTTATTTTTGCTGAATTATTCTTGCTCATTTCGATGTCTTCTGATCATATCTTTAATTAATGAGAGAGGATGAAGGAGAGAGAGAGAGAGAGAGAGAGAGAGAGGAAGAAGAAGAAGAGAGAGAAAGA